CACTTAGGCAAAAAGGGTTTTCCACCCTTATTCTCGTTTTGCAGCTAGGAAATGGAAGCACAGAGCCCTATTTGCAGTCACTCAGCACACCTATAACAGAGGCAGGGAGAGAAACCGCATACTTTGTCCAGCCGTCAGTCTGTGAGATCCCCTTACGCTAAAGGGAAGGATCCCCTTCCTTAGTGCATAAAAGAAATTGCCACCTTGCGTGAACTATTGCAACACAAGCTTTAGGTAGGCTACCCTGCCCAACAAGTAGCGTTGCTTTTCCCTTACAGTGCGTGACATAAATATTGCCTTCTAAGATTTCCTCTTGCTAAGCCTACTCATCTCTACTGCTATGCGCCATCTGCACTGATGATAATCTATGAAAATAAAATAGGAATCAATATTAAAAAAATCTTTACTCTCTGATAAACCTTTAGACCCGTTTTAATGATTTGTTATATATGTGCAACAGGAAGATATAGTCATGGATTGAAAAACAATATCTAACTGTTCTGCAGGACGGGAGAGGGAGCAGGAGCGTGTGTCTGGGTCATCCCCCACCCCATACATGCCAGCAGCACTTATTGCTCTCCAGGTGCCAGCAGACATTTTGAAGCCCTAGGAACATCCAAATCTGGCCTTCTTCCCGGTTCTTTAAGCTGCAAGTTAACTGCATACAATGTGATGCGGCACAGTGATGTCTGCATGGGACAGGAGGCTGAAGTAATGGCAAGAGCAGGAAACTAGTCAACTTAGGAAAAGATTCAGCAGGTAAATCTCACTGTAGCACAGGAGTGTACGCACATACACACACACACACCATGCACACGTGCAAGTTTTCCCACGAACAGCAGTGCCCTCTCATGGTTATGGAGATGCACCTACTGATCTTTGTGGTGGTGATGTGGTCTTGCTTTTGGCATCCTGTTCAATTTTCTCATTTATTTTGGGGTTATTAGCTCCATTTCATCAGTGGAATAATTGGATTGGCATCAGAAAAGTGAGGATATATCAGCAAACTAGAATGTTTTAAGCATCACAGGCATCTACATTTAGGAAATTGAAGTCAAAAACATTATTGTTGTACAAGGGTATGAAAAACATTATACAGTCCAATAACTTATCCTCTACATCGCCTAAATGATCCTCAGAAAAGCATGCTGGGCCCGATGCATTAAACCAAATCTATGTTCATGTTGAAAACATAGCAGCAGCGTTGGCTTAAACTACTGCCTGTGAGCACAGACTACTAGATTGTCTTGTTCTGCTGGATGCGAAGTTAAGTCAACTTCATGCCTAGTACAGTGGGAATCTCAGCCTTTACGGCTGTCTCTGTGATGGTCATGCAAGCAGTAGCTTATTCTGCCTTTCAGCCCTGGCTGGGATCACCTCGTGTGTTACAACCTTAATCTTATTTCCAAAAATAGCCTGCTCAGGCCAACACACTAATGGTTTAGTGTATTGTACAACCGACATCTCTTCACATGAGATTAGTGAAGTTCTCTTCTCCACTTATGGGAGTGAAGAACAAAACACCCCGCCC